GACCAAAAAAACTGCTAATTTATCTTGATTTTTTAGAGACCCGGTTCACTTACCTCTTTTAACATATCACCTAATTCCGTGAACCAGCTTTTCAAGCATAAGGATGCGCGTGCGACTTCGGGATTTATTCGATTTTGGGTAAGACTGATTGTGTTTCTTGCGATAGAGAAGGCTTGCTCACTTGGTACGCTCATAGACTGAACTGCAAGAAAGTCCATCGCAATGCGTGCAAGTACTGGGAATTGATTTGAGTTCACTTTTCACCAAAGAAGTGGATCTGCTTCAGTCTCTGGCTCAGAGAAGTATTTTTCAATTTTACACCAATTTAGGTTAGATTGATGGCACTTTGTGAGATTTCAAAAAAACCTTCATGTTGATTTAGTAGCAGTGGTAGGTGGTAATGGTTTTTTTTCTTCAGGTGGTTTGTATATTTGGTACACTTCATGGAGTTTATTAATAGTTTGTTCATGTTCAGTAATATCATAGGTAGAAAGTTTATTATGGTGGTCAAGAAGGCCTGAAATTGCTGATGATTCATTTAGGTGAGCCCAATATGACATAAATTTTACTTTCATCGCATTAGCTACAGCATGTTGTGTATTGATCACTAGGTTTTCATTATTATTTAAATGTATAATAAGATCACGGAATATAAAGCGCAAGTCACCTTGGGTTGGAAGTGTTGGCAAAGACAGCATTACGGTTGCATGATACATAGGTTCAAGAAGAGCTAACAGGTCCTGTAATTTGCAATAATAGTATTAAAATCTTTTAAAACAATAGAAAATTATTTAACTAACCATAATAATTTCCCATTCTTGTTCGTCAGGATAATTTGGTTTTAACATTTGGTTGCTTACAACAAGAATATCGGTCATAGGGCGAATTCGTTGAAGTTTTTCTAATAAAATATACATGCTATTCTATCTGGTATCTACATCAGCTTGAGGCATTAAAAATGGTTAATTTTTTATTTCAAATATTTGTTTTAATTCTCTGATTAGTGACGGAGAGTTTCGAAGCCTAATAGAAAACTCCTGCGCTTTAGAAATTTCTTTACTGACTGACTTAATTCCTTCTTTAACAATGATATTTAGAATATGTGCACCACAGCGAAAATGCTGCACGTTAATATTACTAAATTCATTATGCATTCTTTCTTTTAGAACACAACCCATAGCAATCATATTGGAAGCATTGTCTGTCGTTACTCCTAAGGGCTTATGGCCTATATTCATTTTTGTTAAAAGTTCAATTATCACATCAGTTTGGTTGACCTCAGTGTGTGCTTGATTGAAAGGAATAATATCTAATTAAATGCGATGCATTTTCTACTCAGGATCTACCCAATGAGCAGTTACACCAAGATAGAGTTGTTGTGTGCAGGACGTCTAGCCATCCATAGTAATTAAAATTTTTGATGGAACGTCGTTAAAAAAAGTGATAATTTTATTTTTACTATTAATATACTCTTGACTGACCCAAGTTGAGATTGTTTGGCGACATGGGGTTTTGTATCTTGGACCAGGTTCGTATAAAAAATTAATAAATTCAGTATTTTCGGCCAACAAAAATGACTGTTGGTCAATGACTACCCATTTTAAAAGTTTATTATTTATTGTATCTGTTTTATATTTGTTATTTGGGCCATAAGGGTCAAGTCGTCGAAGTTTACACTGTTTAATTTTAGTAAACTCTGCAGGATAGAAGTTTTAAAAATGTCGATTAATAGTTGATATTGCAGTCAGGTTGCCAAATGTTTGTTTACATAATTTACATCTTTTACCTCTATCAGGAGTTGATAAAAGGTAAACTCTAACAGGTGCTCGATTATTTGTGGAGAAGGTGGAAACATTACTTAGTGTTTGATTAGTATTATCTGATAAGAGTGCGATTTCATCACTTGTAGCTTCTTCACTAGAGGTTTCTGATTCTTTGTCTATAGATTCGATATAATTTGTTATTATAGATTCCGATTCGTTTGTTTTCATTTTTTATTTTATTTTTGTTTTTATTTTTTTTATTATTTTTTTTTTGAGGGATCTTTAAATAACTT